CACTTGTTCTCCATGCAAATTACAGGTCAAACAATACGCGGTGTACACGTCGTGGCGCGTACATTATGCACTCGTACATGCGTGTGTGTTTCGTTGAATTTCAAATCCACGCACTCTGTGTTTTATAAGCCCACAACAATACGTTATTGTGTTACGCGCTCCCGACGTGCAATACTACCGGTGTCGAAAGGATCGGGCGCGATCCGAGGGTTTTCGAAAATACGTCGACCGAAGCGAGTAAAAACCGCTATTGATTCTTCAAACGTTCGTTTGACGTTGCTTTGCAAACAAACGCAATTTTCACGAAATATCTGGACGAAAATTGTGCTGAAACAATGATAAAGACCAATGAAAATAATTATCCGTAATATACATTACGGATTATTATTAATACATTATTATATTAATATAGTATACGATAATGGTATCATTATCCATCGACGGAAAATAACCGGTGGGCGTGTACGCAACACAACGGTTATGGTAGTATTACTACGAGTTGGACTGTGCAAAATATACCCGATAAAAGCGTCGTCTATAAATAACCGGTGCACGTACTAGTGATGGAAATGAAATCCGTATTTTCGAAAATCTGCCAAATCCGGATTTCGAATTTTAAAATCCAAAACTCGAACTATCGAATTTCAAAATCTGAGTTTTAAGTTTATTATTGCAAATTTATGTATTCTAATCCTATAACTTTCATTACACCACTTTTTAGTCGTTATTTTAATTAATTAATAAGATGATGGTGATCTAAATAATCTTAATAATTGGTAAACACTTCAAGTTTTACGCACCATTATTTTTGGAGATACAACTAATAATAACTAAAATGAATTTTATGATATCCAACTTATATATTTAATATTATACAAAAACTTGTTAATGAGATTCTTGATTAGGTTAGGTTAAAATATCATTTAATTTTGAGAATGTTCTATTATTTTATATTTACTATAAATAGTTCTTGAAAGAATACTAATTCAATGTTTTCAAATCCCAAATCCAGATTAAATGTAAAATCCGGATTTCGGATTTCGAACTTCAAAAATCCAGATTTTCAAACCTCAGCGAATCCGAATTTTTCCCATAACTGGCACGTACCTGTCATGGACGTTGACGTAACCATACGATATTATAATATTACATGTTCGTGTGCATGCCATTACTATTACATTTGAAAAACTATGGTCCATCATGATAGTTGTGTACGCGTTCCGCGAAATCTGCTTGCCAAGAACGGTCACTGTCGGCAACGATATACAGCATGTCCGTTTCCAAAATATTCAAATATGTATTTAATCCGTTTCGATGGTGTCGCCTGAAAGTGTTGTATTATATTGACCAATTCAACATCAAGAGTTACAAATGCAAAATATATTCATCTAACAAACGTTGTTTTAGATTTTCGAGTACACTTCAAGGTTTAACTACGCAAACGGTCATAAGTGAAATTGATGCCGAGAGCGATTCGGTACACTTGCCGGTGAAATATTGTTTAATCGTGTAGATTGGTGACTATTATGAGCAACATCAGTTAAGTGTTGACTTTGATAGAAAAATAAGACCGAATAAACTTAATTTTTGTAAATACAAGTACCTTGAACGTTATTTACATATTATTATATGTTTATTTAAATACGAATTTCAGATTTACATGAAACACAATAATATTGTAAATCTAACTGTAGTAAATTAAAAGCAATATTTAATATAATATAATATGTTTTGAATGTTGGGTACCATTTCCTCGAAAAGATTAAGTATGGCTGTATTTCGATTTACGTGTTTATAATTTTATTCTAGTGCATGGTATTAAATTAATGGAATAGATACGATTCGAGAAAAATAATTCAAAATACATTTTTCATTCTACTATGAAATAAAATTATAAATTTACATTTTAAAAGATCCTTTTAAATATTATTAATAATGCTCTTAAAATAATTTTACAGTTATTTATTCATCTTAAGCAAATACATTTTTATCAGATATATATTACTATTGACATCACAATTATCATCCGCAATATCATCAGATGCTTCAATTGCTATAAAATCATTACCAAACAAAGACCTAATAAGAATAATTAACCGAATCTCCATGCAGCAATGGCAATCACAATGGGATCTCTGACTACAAATTAAAAGATAAAAAAAAAAAACCATATAGAAATGACAATCTCCCATCTACACGGCACGTATAGTAAATATAGTCACCACTAGAGCTAGAATCGACCACACACATCTCACCCATTATTTCCTCTTCAACCATGAAGAACCACTAACTTGCCACCAACGTAACCTACTACTGACAATCGAACATCACACACTCCACTGTGCCAAATATACCAACGAACGAAACGTCTTCAACCACCTTTCCAACATCAAAAAGCGCTTGGGGAAACCAACATTGATGCAATCTTTAAATTTTTGAACACCATCAAATTATCCAACTTATTATAAAATAATCTTTAAACGTCACTTTTTCCCATGTATATAATTATGTATAAATAATTATAAGTATTTCCATGCCACCAAACTACTCTTAATTTTAACAATGCTATACTTACAGACTAATGACCTTTGTTGTCAATACCTTTATTCTTAATAAAAATTAAAATTAAAAAATATTATAATTATTATTGACATTATAATTATATTCCATTTTTACTTGTATATTACGTAGAAAAAATAAAAAAATATGATGGTATAATAATATCAATTATCTAATTTATCGTTGAAAAAATCTGCGTGAAAAATATATTTCTAAACAATATAAATATAAGTATTTTTTAAAAAGTTTTTGAATTCTCAAAAGTATGATAGAATAGTAAAACATTTAAATAAATCATTAAAATGCATCAGAACACATTTTCCCATCAAATTGCTCAAAAGAAACTTTAAACTTATTTTTTAGTTATATTGCCGTACAAAAATAATTATACAATTATATCATTTAAACAAAAATTACTGTCACAGTAATTCTTGCTCGGAATATCATAGAGTTTGTACTGATATATTTCGAAACGAATGCTTGTGATTTTTTTAACTGCATTTTAATCATGAGTGCAAAGTCATGAATCATCAATGTAGGTATTAAAAGCTTAATATTACGAAACGAAAATCCGAATTCATGTGTCTTGTTTTAAATTCAGAAGAAGATTATTATACAAATAATGGCCAATTATGCATGCCCTTAATAGTTGGAAAATTGTTTATCCATATATTTAATTTTTTTTAGAATACGGTTCACGCTTTTAAGCAAAAAATAAGTAGAAATAAATTATGTTCATCAAAATATGTTAAACTCTTATAAACTTATAAGATATAACTTTCCCCTGCGTTGTATTTAATTTAAATTATTTAAATATAGAAACATAGTTTACGGAAAATATTTTGTAGAAGGTTATATTAGATTTAATGTATAAACAGTCTGAATAAAACCATTAATTTTATATCAGTATTATTTTATTTTCGTGTGAAATAGACTATTATGTTTGCAAATACACATAATTTAATGAAATAATATATTGAAAAATATTCGCTAAATATTTTTCCATAAGACTTAATCTAATAACAAAAATATTTTTTATTTTAATTCACATTAAAATGTTTAATTTTGAACATTTATTTTTATATTATGACTCGTTTAAGAATTTATGCAACCTTTTACTTTCATTTTATTTTCCGTTTTAAATCCCAATTAAATTTCTAATCAATATTTATTTAATATGATGATGCAAAATAATGACTTTACCGTTTTAATTAATTTTAAGTATGATGCACTCATATCAATATGTGTATATACAGTACTCGTAAATAATATGGATGTTAAATGTGTTGGGTTTTTTTTTTTTTTTTTTAAACCAAATGTTGTTACAAGATGTCTTTATAGATTCGTTCATAAATGCTCATGATTTTTTTTTTTTTATAAGACTAGATACAATAAAAATAATATGGTGTACAATATTTTAAGTCCATCCATGTCTATTCCGTCTAAAGTAAATTAATTTATCTGTTGTGAGTTACTGCATCATTAAACACGTTTTCAATTTTATCGCAATATGGAACAGAAAAATAAAAACATTAACATAACAGATATTTGTTTCAACATATTATTTGAATCGTTGAAAGTCTTATTTATCGTTGCTTTCTGTGCTTTATATTCTTATTTTGGTCTCATTCATGTATTTTTGTGTAGCTAGAATGAGCGTTGTAACGAAGTAAAGCCTAAGTGCAAAGTTGTGTATTTAAGGTTGTAATACCATACCATAATGACGTAAAAATATAAGAATTTAGTTTTCAACTCTGTATCTTAATATAATATATCTTTTTGGAAATAATACCGATATAATTCTAAATTATGAATACATTAAATAGAAAAAAAAACATTTCAGTAAATATATTCTTGAATGATTATTATACTGAAAATTTCCTTTGAAATTGGTTGTTAAAAAGTTATTTTATACACAAAGCTTTAAAATAAAAATAAAATAATTTTATTCACAAAAAAAAAAAAAAGAAAACCAAAAATTCCGATTAAAATTATTAAAAATATAGTTTCACGATACTTCTACCGATTAGAACGTTAATAATTTTATTAATCTTTATTAATTACTAAAAAAATACAACAGCATTTTCAAAAATGTATAAAAATTCTAAAAATAAAATAATTAAATTAAATAAGAAATAACGAGATGTTTTGTTGTATTGTACATTTTTTACTTAAAATATAATATACTTATAATGTACATATATAATAATAACAAAGTATAATTATTAAATATATAAAAATTTTAATAAACATTAATAGGAATTGTCTAGAATCGTCATAAAATAACCACCATATACAAGTATATTACTTATTTACAATTGAATAAAACGTCGTAATATTATACTAATATTTCACTGATAATTAATTCGTAAAATTATACAATCAAAAAAATTTGATTAATTTAGAATTTAATAAATTAATGATTCCGTTTTTAATTACAGAGAATAGGAACTGCTCACGGAGAAGAACTGCCATACATGTTTGGTGCTCCAATGGTAAACGATGGTATGAACCATTTTTCAAGGAATTATACAAAAGCGGAAGCCGCGTTATCAGATGCTATGATTCTATACCTGGGAAATTTTGCAAGAACTGGGTAAGTTCCTCGTTAAAATTAATAAAGTTTATACTTAATTGCTCTGTTTTAACGACAGTTTAAAAGTTCAAGCATAATTTTTCATTAATGCTGTAATTTTTTAGATTAAATGGTTTAAACTAACTCGTTATTGTATGTATTCGGTTTTCTGTAAAATTATATAGTTAAATCGATTTGGATTTGAAATGTGTTTTCTCGAATGTTGATGCGTTCAAAATTATAATAAAAAAAATTAATTTTAAAATGTCAAAATTCCTTAAAAATTAATTTAAAGAGGAAAATTATAAAGAAATATCAAAATGTAAAGATGCTTATTACTTATAATTATTAAATTACCAATCTATACGTAAACAAATTTTTTTGTATACAAATAATAAAAATAATATTAATATTTTAATTGGTTAAAGATTATGCAGTACTTTGAAGTATTTTTTTATTTATTTTTTTAATGTTAAAATTCTTTTAAAAATCGAGTAGACTTTGATTTTGTTTATTATATAATATTTGGTAATATAGTAAACCTACCCACCTATGTTACGTCTTGTTTTTCACGGCTTTCTCGTAACTTTCATAATATAGTAGATATAGACCCCCTTTCTTCTTTCCTTTTGTAATGGTTGTCACGGTACATCATAAACATCAGGCAACTAACACAAACGTGAATAATAATCTTAAGAGACATTGAATAATGCTAATATATAATAGAATGTAGTATCGAAAAGTCTCTAAAAGATAACGAAAACAATATAAATATACGTCTAGTTACAAAGATGATGTACAAAATCGCATATACTCTGCAAATCATTCTGCATAAAATCCATACGTATTTTAACATATTTCATGTTTTTTTTAAATTTTTTTATAATATTTTACGGAAGATCTACTCGTCCAACTATAATTAAAACGTAATACATTTTTACTGTACTGAAATTATGTAAACATTTCGAATTGATGTAGATCAATAATATTACTGGAAATTTCGTGTGAATAATTTTCAGTGGGAGATATTTTTTCTTGTCACGTAGAACCGTTGAAAATGTTGTATCGGTGCGTTTCTTTGACGTGTTATTGTTCAAATATTAGATTCGTTGGCGTCGTAAATCTAGAGTCTAGATTTTAGACCGTAAAAGTATGCCGAAGAACAAACGTAATGTTTATGCACTATATAAATGAAAGCGTGAGTAAAAACGAGAAACCGATTCATATAGAGAATTTTATTTCGTCTTTAACGCGACATGATGGTGCAGTACGGTTTGCTTAGGGAAATCTGAATGTAAGAGAACAAATAAAACTGATCACGGGACTTTTCGTTCGACGGTATTAATTTTCTCCCTTTCAGCATTACTTTCCGTGTGATATTTGGCGCGGACAAGATAAACAAGCCGAACAAATCCATCAATGTATGAGACAGATTATGTCGGATAAGTAATAAAAAAAAATGTTGTTAAATCACAACCATAGTTGTTTGGTTGCTCGTTTGGTTGACTAATTTCGAAAATATTTTATGTTTCGTTAGTTTTTCCTGTTGCAGACTAACGAGTTATAATCGGTGTTCGGACTTATCTAAATAAATCATCTTAATGAACTATCTAGATAGTTATTTGTTCAATTTATATCTTATTTAGATAAATAATTACAAAATGTCTAAACATTTATCTTATTTTACTAATCTAGATAAATGCATTTAGATCATCAGAGTTGTTCAAAGAAACTAATTTAATTTTTATTTAAATTATCAGAGTTTATAAGTTATACAACATAAATAACTCAATTTAAAAAAATATATTAAAAACGATAATGTTTTTTCTCTATTGCATGCCGGTTAGGTATAAATATAATGTTAATTGATTATAAATAAAAATTGGTAAAATCTACTATTCAAATAATGAACGATTTTAGCTATCGGCACATTAACTATTAATAACATTTACCTTAGGACTTGTGGATAGTAAACAATTGAATGTCACACTTTAAATATTAATTTATATTTTAACTATTTATAACTATAACTATGACTAAATTGATATATGATAATTGTGATTACTATAATATCATTAATATTAATATTAAATTTCTAAAAACGTTATTCATTTATAACCATTAATTATTCATTGTTTCATAAATACATAATAATTTGGAAATAAAAAAATTACTTTATATCAAATCTGTATTTGAGCTATATAAATTTGCTATAATTCTGTAAGCAAAAAATTATAATGTTAGGTTTATGCTTTTTTTAAATTTGATCACTTGTTCATCTAGATAAAAATGCGTTTATCATTATTTTTATATAGACAAATATGAATTAAGTTATCTACTATCTTTGTTAAGATAAATTTCGATTTCCAACAAATAACGATATGTATATATTACTTAAAACGCACACAATACAAAGTCAGTTAAAACAATTGATATGCATTAGTTCAAATTATCCAAGGAGATATTCTATTATTACAAGTATTTGGGAAATACAAACATAATTATAATTTGAAAACGAACTATTAATTTTATTGTAGTCAATGTGTAATAATATTACTGTTAAGACAAACAGCGCTCGAATAATTAGCAGTGTTCAAATAAGAAACAAATAAAATGTATTAGCTCTTATTAAAATTACGTCAGTCCGAGAACCGAATAATCCGAAATACAACGTATTTGTTAGTAAACTTCGTAATAGTGTTATTAGTTCCATCATAAAAAAAAAGTCATCTAAAAAAGTTAAGCATTAAATGTGAATTATAACGAATCTATGAGATACATGATTTCGAAAATGAAAAAATTGTATTTTAAATTATTTCCATTGCAAGACATGTTTAAGATAGGAGAGACGTTGATAATAGACTTTTTCTTAAAAAAAAAAAAAAACAGGAGATCGTGCTGTAACCTGATCAGTGGAGTTAAAAGCTACTATATCTACAGTAACAAGCTGCGCTAACAAGGCATCTGAAATTTGATCAGAAATTATGGTGTACTCTCTAAATATGCCATAATTTTCAATTAACAGTTTAAGTGAAGCGGAGAATTTGACAGAATACAGTATTATAACTCGCTACGAGATCTACACGATTATTCAAAAAGTTTTATTAAGAAACGTTGGGAGTGTATATATCGTTCGTGTTTCGTTAGAATTTCCGTTCTAATGAATTATCAAAAGGAATACTTTGTCAGTCATATATTATGCATACGAGTACACATGCACATGTGCGTGCGTTTGTGTGCGTGTGGTCGTGTATGTGTGTGGTCGTGTGTGTGTGTGTGTGTGTGTGTGTGTGTGTGTATGGTCGTATGCGTACAATAAATTACATTAAAATTAAACGCGTATTCGACCAAACAAGATTCTAGACTTCTATATGGGCATATTCTGATTTATGAAGGTATACATGAAGTATGGATAAATTATAGTTAGTGCGCAGAGATTATGTTGCATGAACACCTATGCAAAACGAAATTTGCATATTTTAACTGATTAGTAGTTCTAATCCTAATAGTTACTTAACGTTTTGTCATGTATTTAATTAATTCCTTAGTCAAATATCCGTTTTTTAGCTCTATTACCTCTATTATAGCTCTTATAATATATACTTTATATTCAAGTTGAACTTAGTTTGAGTATGAATACCAAGTATTCGCACACAGTGAATCACATATTTTCGTTGATGGCATTAAAATTTTTATATGAATTTTATCGATTGCAATCATTCACTATTTTTTTTTTTTCTCATTATTGATTATAAATACTACAGATTACTCACTGTAATACAAAATATTTTGTGCAAAAATTATTCCCAATAGAACGCAATAAGGTGTTATTTTTGTCTACAATTAAATTAACATTATATTTTCTTATCGACTGTCGCATCATCATTGCCGACCACCGTCACACGACGCTGTCAACCTCCGTTGCGCGTCAACCCACGACCCGAACGAACAATATTATTGGAAAATGAAATCTCAATTTCTCAAAGTGCTACAAATTTTACGAATATTTTGCAATGAAAATAGTCACATTTTCTACCAAACATTTTATTTCTTAAAAAGTATCACAAGAATAAAAATTACACAACATCGACAACACAAATGATTTAATGTCGAATGTACCCGTATAGTATATTTAACAATTCAAAACAAGTAATTCGAAAATAAATATAGCTAGTGTTATATATAATACGATATAATACGATATAGTATTTATAATCAATGACAGTGTGTATTACATAGTGAATATTACATATTACATAGTGAATGCGTATAATATTGTTCTGATATAATAATTATGTAAATATAGAGTTCATAGTAAAAGAGTAAGAGTATAATATTTTAACCGTCGTTCGATACGACGTTAACCCGCCTCGGATCCCACTGAGCGCTGGGTCAGCGATCAATAACAATAATTACGAGCACTCGAGCCGTTTACAGCCCTTTCCACCCCATGACGTCCCATCTATCAGAAATCCTATGACCAACCTTACATTATACACTGAAGTTGAGTGTGTATAAATTAATTTTTTAACAATGACTTTTGGTCTCACAAGTATCTCCGCGTGCCCGTAACGTTGTAAAATAATTTGGTTCTTGTGGTCGCCCCACCGCTGGTGGCAATTTATCGTTCATTGTTGGGCAAAACATATCTTCTATTGTTTAGTGATCCGTACGGGATTACAGTGATTGTAGAAAGTGAAAAACGGTCGCCGTGCTCCAGGCCTCAGGTGATTGTAATATTAAAGCAATATTAAATACATATAAACACTAAAACACACGCAAAATGAGAATGAGTGTGCGTGTGTTTTATGTGTACCTTTGTGGGTGTGTGTGCTTACACATACATGTACATACATAAAAGATACTTTGTACTTATACACTCCATCGATAAAAAATCAATGCTTCACTCGGCGAAATTTTTTACATTGTCGAAACTACTTTTTCGAAGAACATAAATGGAAATAAATTCCCTTTCGAATAATTGTCTCACCACATCACTATTCAAATATATAAATATATAT